GGGTTTTTTTTTTTTCTTGTAGAGGGCAGAGATTAAGGACAGTTCTCTTTTTTCTTTTATTTATCAGAATCACCAGGCTTTCAGAAGAAAGCTACAGTGCTGTTATTAGTCCTTACAGTTCGATTTAAACATGCAAAAACAAGAATAAAAATCCCCTCTAACTTGCTTACCCATTCCTCTCATCAGAAGTCTTGGTGACTTCATGCCAAAGAGGGAAACATTTTTAGTGGCGTGATAATTGCATGTGTGTAAGGAAGCTGGCTATACATCTGGGAGTTTTAAAATTTATTTTGCCCAGTGGAGATGGAATAATTAATTTCGTAACTTGAATGTTAGATAGAGTCTCATCTAAGACATCTCCAAAGGTCTCGTGATGGAACATGCTATCCACAGCCAAAGAAAGAACTATAGAGTTTGAATGCAGATTGAAACATAGTATTTGCTATTTTTTTCTTCTGTTTTGTTTCCTTTCTGGTGGTTCCTTCTATTGGTTCTAATTCTTCCTTACAACATGATTAACGTGAAAATATGTTTAATAGGAATGTATATGTATAGCCTATGTCAGATTGTGTGCCGCCTTGGGGCGGGAGGGGGAGAAAAATTTAAAACTCAAAAGCTTATGGAAGTGATTGTTGATAAATCAAAATAAATTAATAAAAAAATAATTATCGAAAAAAAATAGAGCCTCTTTGAAGTATCTGTGGAAGAATAAGGGCAAGAGCCATATAGAAGAAGGCATGGATAGGTCATAATCAATTCTCACATCTATGAGATAAAAAATCCACTGAAAGATTTATTTTAAGAAATCATAGGATTTAGAGCTAGAAGAGCCATAGAAACTCTCATTTTTACAGGTGATAGAGGCTGAGGTCCAAAGAGAGTCCCTGCCACATGGGTATAAATATCAGAACTGGGATTCAAATTTAGATCCTTTGACTCCAAAACCAGTGCTCTTTCCACTATACCATGATAATTCACTCCTGGTATTCTCTAAGTGAGATGAGCCATATAAAAAGCTACCTGGATCAAGGAACACTTTCAAGTGGATCCCTTTATAAAAAGGATTATCCTGTTATTTATTTTTTAAAAGTAACTTCTGCCATAAAGAAATTAAAGAATGAGCAAAATGGTTATCAATTTTTGAGGCAACATTAGGTACAGTAGGTCATGCCTGGGAGAAATTTTATATTTCCTAATGGAAACTCATTAAATTCTTTTACCATTAAGTTAGAAAGCATATTGGACACAGAGTGCTGTATGTTAATCTCAAGTGATTTGCATGTAAATTTGTTCCAGCTTTGGTGATCTCAGCCTGAGCTTTAGGTGGCTCTTTTCCAAACATTCCCAGTATCCAGAGCTGACATTCAATTCCATATGTATTTATTGAGACACATATCATGGGAAACTTCTAGGACACTCCTGTTTTGCTTCCTAAACCTGCCCTTGTAGAGAGGTTGTACTTAAAAACAGGGCTACTGAAAGTCACCATATTTACAGCATTTCCTCCTGAGTCTTACTCACATTGACTTGCAAGACGTTCTAGAGAAGCAGACTTCTTAGTTCTCATTCTTCCTTGCCTTGATTCACTTCCAGCACCAGCACCCTTCCAGTTGTTTCACTTTCCAGTGAGTTCATGCAATTCTGCATGATGTCATTTTTTGCCTATTTAGCAAGTTGTGCCAACTATTATAATTTCCATCGTATTGCATCTAAGAAGTGCCAAGGTTGGAACTGGCTTTGCCAGCCATACTTCACTTTTATAAATATGTCAGGGCATACACAGATGGTGACCATTCTACCACTGACAAAAACTAGGGACGTAATGGTTTTGGAGCTTCATACTTATTGAGAGCCAGAGTCAAGAGGAACACCACTACCCTACCTTCCAAAAGACTTTTACTAAATCAATAAAGTCTATGTCTTGTTCTGAGGCAAAACACAGTAACTGAAAAATCCTCATTTACATCAGGAATTCCCAGAACTGGTTCTACAATAGCAATACTAGTTAATAATGGATAGTTAACTGTTAGTTTAAAAAATACCATAATATTCCCCCAACAAAAATTAATTCTAATTTATATACACAAATGTGTGTGAATACTTATATAAATTATATATAATTATTTGAGTTTGAATAATAGGAAAAAATATAAAACATATTTGTTAGGTCTGAACTTGTGATTTAATTGGTGTAAAACATTCTCAGTGAGGAAATTTCCTCCACAGCAATTTGTCTGTAACTTCAGAATCTTAGAGAGTTCTATGCATGTGTGAAAAACACATGGGTTCAAATTCTTGCTTTGACACTTAACTATGTGATCATGAATAAATTATTTAACTTCTCATTGATAACTGGCTCTTGAGCTAAGCCTTGAAGGAAGCTTAGGATTCTCAAGACAGGTGAGGAAAGAGTGAATTCCAGGCAAGGAAGACAGTGAAACAGTATTCGGTATCACTAGTCCAAAAAAGTTGAGTCACTGGCCCAGTCATACTATCTGCAAAAGGACAATTTTTTAAATGGAACTATCTTCATTTCTAGCCTTTACAACAAAACAGTGAAAAGCAAGTTTTGTTTGTGGGGAGAAAATACACCAAAGTCTAGTAAAGAACTAATTCCAATTAATTCCAATGTGTGGTTAGGATAGAAAGTGTTGGAGGCAGGAAAGATAAAGGTTAATGGAGATTTGAAAATGTAATTGGGTTTTTAAGTGATAACTTTGTTGCTGTCAGCTGTCATGACATTCTGCAAACATTTTATGATAATAGGACCTTCTAGTTTGTGCCATTTGGTTTTTTTTTTTTTGCTTTTTTGTTTTCCATCTAGAAACTATTTCTTAACTTTGATATTTATCATCATCTTGTTTAGTTCGATAACTGACTGAAGTTAGTCATGCCACCCAGAAATCTTAGGTTTTATAGACTGTTGATGGGAGATGTGGAACAAGTTGATTTATATTTTTGATTTATTGAATGGGCTTAATACTAGTTTGTGGATAATTAAAGGAGGGCAGTTCAACCTGTGGATTGTCCTTGGCTTGTTTTAGCCTGACTCTAGCCCGTCTCTCTCAGAGAAGTGTTGTATTGCTAGGTTATAAAATACTTGGAGCAATTTGGAAAGAAAGCTGTTGCCTAGTGAAAATTACAATACATGACAGTACTATTGCCTCCTGAGTGCATATCAAACCAATATATGGGCAGTTATTGCCAATCAGTGACAGTATTTTTATTCGTCAGACATTCATCTGATGCCTGTTGTGTTCAAGACACTGTCCTAGGTCTTGGGGACACAAAGATAGATAGGAAATTGAACCTTCTTCCAAGAAGCTCACTCTTTAATAGGGGAATAAGACATATACTCAAATAATTATGATATTAGAGAAAATATCATAAGTGCAAAGGAGAGGTCCAGGCAAAGTGCTATGATAAATTTGAAAAAGGAGAAAGCGTATCCAGCAGGTGGAAGTGAGGGTGGAGTCTTAATGGAGGAGACTGCTGAGGTGGACCTTGATTGAAAGGAAGAAGTTCAGCAGGTAGAGATGAGCTGGGATGTCTTAGAGGGAAATATGTGTTGCATTCTCTGCATGAGGGGACAGTGTGAGAAATATTGTGAACATGGGGGAAAGCAGAATGAGAAGGGAAAAGGGCAAGTAAAAGTAGCTCAGTTTAGGTGTATAGACTTCATAGAGGGAAGTGATATGAAAAAAAAGCTGAAAAGGCAAATTGGAACCGGACTGTGGAAATCCATGGATAACACAACACAGTAAAGGGTTTTTACTGCCTCTGGAGAGTAGTAAGTCCATTCCTCCCTAATAACTTGTTGAGATAGACGCGCGCACGTGCACACACACATACACACATATACACACACGCTATTATGTAGTGGATAGAGTGCTAGAGTCAGAAAGACATCTTCCTGAATTCCGATCTGGCCTTAGACACTTGCTAGCTGTATGACCCTGGCCAAGTTGCTTAATCCTGTTTGACTCAGTTTCTTCATCTGTAAAATGAACTAGAGAAGGAAATGGCAACCATTATGTTTGCCTCTTAAGAAAACCCCAAATGGGGTCACAAAGAGGCAGACACAACTGAAAAATGACTGAACAACAACTGTATAGATAGATACATCTATATGTATATATAGATCTATATATAAAATATGCATATATAAAATAAATGGTGACATATATACACATGTGTGTATATATGTGTATATATAAATATACCACGTGCACACACACACACACACACACACACACACACATAGATAAATGGATAATCATCAAAGATCTTGTAAAAGGAGTTTCCTGTTCTGATACAGTTTGGACTAGATGACCTGTTACGTTCCTTCCAGCTCTGAGATTTTATAATGATGATAATTTTTATATAGCAGTCTCAAGTTTATAAAACATGTTATGTCCATCCCCTCAATAGAGCCTCAGAACAACCCTGAGGCAAATGCTATAGGTATTAGTATCCGTATTTCATGGATGAGGAAACCGAGGCTCAGAAAGTTTGAGTGACTTTTCCGTCATCACACAGCTAGTATCAGAAATAGGATTTAAAACCAGGTCTGCTTGACTCAAAGTTCAGAAAACCTGTCAACATACCACACTACTTCTTCAGTACTGCCACTTCATTCAGAGGGCAATGAGGTATCATCAGGGTGTTGTTATAGAAGAGTAATGTGATCAGAGAATGTTCATAGGTGGCCATTTGAAAAAGCAATTGAAGAAGGGTAAACTGATGGCAGGAAGACCAGTTAGGAGACTTGTTATTAATAGGCTAGGTAAGAAGAGATGAGGTCTGAGCCAGAGCTATTTGCAATGGGGGAGGAGAATTTTTGCTCACGTCCCTCACTAGACTAAAATTGTCCAAGTGAATGCTTGCAGCAACCTTGTGAATGCCACCCATCTGTTGAGTCATGAACTAAGTGAGTTCATACAAGTATGGTGACCGCTGGTGTTAATACGCCCCCTGCTCTGCCTTCTTTGTCTTTGTAGGAGTTTAGAGAATGGGCTGTGTCCAATGTAAGGATAAAGAAGCAGCAAAACTGACAGAGGAGAGAGATGGCAGCTTAAACCAGAGCTCTGGCTATCGCTATGGGACAGACCCCACTCCCCAGCATTACCCTAGTTTTGGCGTGACATCCATCCCCAACTACAACAACTTCCATGCGGCTGGTGGCCAAGGGCTCACCGTCTTTGGTGGCGTCAATTCTTCTTCTCACACCGGGACCTTGCGTTCAAGAGGAGGAACAGGTAGGCCCCAGCGTTGGGTGTTTGCTTTTGAGTGTTGTGCAGTTTAATACCTGAGCCCCAAAGACCTCTTCACTGAAAGTCACTCCACCCCAGAGCTGAAAACACTGGAGGAAATTCATTCTTTCACTTTTAAGATTTGGGGACTGTAAGAGGAAATGGGGCTCAATGTTTCATCTGAAGTGCAAGTCAAAATATCGAAGAGATGAGAAAGGAAAAAAAAAACCCTCTGATCCTCAACCCCAAAATAAGCATTATCTCAAAAATTCTTTCTGGGAGACTATGTGGATCTCATTAAATATGGTCCACTTGCCTGTGTGGACTGTTCACTACTTTGCCAATGCCAGCTTTAGAGTTTTCACTTGATCTTCTCTTTTATTTCTTCCACAATCCTCACTCTATGAGGTTAGAGGCTGACTCAGTCTTTGCCCTTCCCCTCACCCCACCCCCCAGTCTTTCCCTATGACTTTCCCATTCATTCCTGTTGACTATTCCATGTTACCCATCTACAATTCTTGACATACATGTGTATATTTAAGTCAGGGATTCTCAACCTAGAGTCCATGAACTTAGGTTTTTGCTGTTGTTGTTGTTGTTTGTTTCAATAATTACATTTCGATAGAATTGCTTTCCTTTGCAATCCTATGTATCATATGTGTTTAATCTTTTGCAACCTTGTATATTATATGCATTTAAAAATAGCTTTGCACATCCTAAGTCAATTATCATGTTCTCAGATCTTCATTTTCCTGCCTTACATTCACATTTCACTGTCATATTTGCTTATTGACTTAACTAATGCTTTGTCCAGTGTTGGATATTTCTTTGCCAAGATGCCAGAATATTTTTTCATTTGTTTTTATAAACTTTTGTTTTCTAAAGTTTTTCTACTGATTGATGTTTTATTTGTCCTGTCCTGCTGTTTATTAGAAAAACTTTGAAGAATATGGAATCTTCTCTATCCATCCATTAATCAAGTGTTTATTAAGTACCTATTGTTTGCCCAACAAACATTGTACTAGGTACAAATAAGTCTGATTTCAGCCCCTCAACCCTCACTCTCTTCATCCAGCTGACATTGAAATAGGGATGTCTTCTTTCCTTATCTGAGAAATAGGAGATTCCTTAGGGTCAGTGAGAATTTTTGTCCCTTCTCATCCTGTGTATGTGCCATACTTAATTAATGCATTTTGCAAAGGCAGTGTATCTTGAAAAGTAAAATTGGAGACACCTAGCTCACTTCCTGAACTGCCTATAATCAACCAACTCTCTGACCACCTTGTTGTGCAGGGAGGGGAAAGCAATACTTACCTCACAATGATAATTTGGCTTCATGATAAATGTAGCTTTTCCTTAAAAAGATGAATTCTAGAGACAGGTTCCCAGGCTATTCATCCCAGCATCCTTGATCAAGCATGAATGGAGAAGAGAGACGATTGGCTTGGGAGAGGAAAGAAAAAAGGGCAGGCTCCGTAGGAACAGCCCATCTCCCACTGTGTTCAGGAATGAATAAATCAATCAATTGGTTTACAGATATTTAAGACAGGGGTTCTCAACCTAGGGCCCATGAACTTAGGTTTTTTTTTAACGTTTTGATAATTATATTTTAGTGGAATTTGTTTCCTTTGCAATTCTGTGCATTACATGCATTTAAAAACATTATCCTGAAGAGTCTGTACATTTCAGCAGACTTCCATAGAGGTCCATAACACACAAAAAGGTTGAGAATCATTGATTTAAGGTGCTTTTATACAGCACCAAGACAGGGGAAAAGGCCAAAATAGTGCCTGGCAAAAAAAAAAGGCAGAATAATCTCCTATACCTGTTTCAAGAGGCACCATGTTCTCCAGCAGTTTGTGACACTTACTTATTTTGTGACACTCAATTCATACCCTGTTTGTGTAGACACACTCCCAGATAACTCATCCACACAGAGTATGAATTCTTGTAATTGGATATACAAGTCATTGAAATCATGTTTATATGTTTTTCTTGAATGCAAAAGAATCTGTTGTCACCAGCCATAATCTAAGAATAAGATACTGTCTTACTCCCATCACAACATGAAATCCAAACATGAAATCCAAAAATAAATTGATAAGTAGCATGGATGAATTTTGCTGCCTTGCACTATTAATGATCTTTTGTTTTATATCTGGATATTATGGATAAGAGGCAGTGTTGTATAGTGGATAGAATTAAAAGCCAACCCCAGATTCATGAATACCTGGGTCCAATTCTTACCTCTGATATATGCTAACTATCTGCCCCTGGGTAAGTCACTTGCTCAGTGTCCCAGGCAACCCTCCAGATCTAGTGATTACAGGAGACTTGTAAAGCAGCATTGGTAGAGGGTATTTCTTCACCAGGAATTCTCTGTTTTAATGAAATTTCAGGTCTAGTCCAAATGCTGTGTGTGTGCATGTATACACACACATATACATATATGTAGATTGTGTGCATGTGTGTATGTTTACATATACATATGTACATGTCTGTGTGTATACATATATACCCTACCTCCCCAAGGACAATGAAGATTTAAAAAGGCAAAGATAGAGTTATACTCCTATAGCATATTACTTTGTATATAGTATTCCATAAATACATATTAATTGATTGATTTTACAGAAGAGGGAAAGAGAAATTTAATCATGGACCCTAAAATGCCATCCATGACACAAAATAAGACTTTCTTAATATAAATTTGATGACCTTTAAAGATAATTAAAGGAAGTTTTCTAGGAGCAGGCACTAAAAAAATGCTTACTGACTTAACTATTCAATTGGTTCCAGACCTATTTGTATGTCCCTTGAGATGATCAGAGTGAATGACCTTCCAGGCACCCAGGAGACCCATTTTTCAGCAACATACCAAATAGCCTCTTTTCTAACCATTCAAAGAAGCCTAAAGAAAAGAACATGATTGCCAAATGAGTCTCCTTTTGTATGGTCAGACTGCATACCTGATGAATACCAATTTTCCAGCAGGAAGTCCCTCTTTGAGCAGGATTGAAAGATTCAGTACCACGTGCTCTTCTAACATTTTGAATGGTCTCATTTGCACATCTGTTGTCTTGAAACTACTTCAGTTGCAGAGTCTCTTAATGAATAATTGAGAAGGACTGAGTTCTTCTTGCCATCGAAGGTACTTTGAAGTGTGGGGAAATTTAATTGAGAAGCCAGAGCAAAGAGAATTAGAAAATTAACCCAACAGGAAAGAAAGAGTCGACACTCTTTTATGTTCAAAGCAAAGTGTGTGTAGTGTGTGTGTATGTGTACACATATTTGGAGCATATACATATATTTGGAGGCAATCGGGGGTAAGTGACTTGCCCAGTGTCATGCACCTGGTAGGTGTCTGAGGCCATATTTGAACTCAGGTTCTTCTGACTCCAGGACCTGTACTCTATCCACTGTGCCACCTAACTGCCCCCACAAAGTATGTATTCTGAAGCAAAAAGACCTCTCTTTTGGCCAGAGTACACTCGTTATGGACAAGTGAGTGAGTAAAGGCAAAGTCTTTTTCCATGAAATGTACCATGTAGCCTCTTTAAATGCAATCGACCCTTCCACCAACAACAGAAACACCTACTTTCAATGGAGGGAGCATTAAGCACCCATCCTGAAATGGGTTATCTGAGTAACTCTAGATTATATCAGACAGTCAATCAGTCAAGTATTTATTTAGTGCCTATATGCTAGGCACTGTCCTAGGTGATAGAGATAGTGATAGAGATACAAAGACAAAAATGAAATAGTGGCTGCCTTCAAGGAGCTTACATTCAATTAAAATGTACCCTAATAAGATTTAGTATCAGAGTAAATATTGCTTTAACCAAGGGTATGAAGGCCAATTTTACCTAGCCCTTCAACAAAACAAGTTATTGTTGTAATCAATTCATTAAATCAGTGAGTACTTATTAAGTGCTCATTTCCATATGCAAAGCACTGGGGATAGAAACACAAAGAATAAACCATGTAGCTGCCTTCAAGTCTTGTCTCAGATGTATGCTAGTTGTATAGCCTGGGCAAGTCACTTAATATTTTAGTCTCTCCTCCTCACCTCCCCAGGCAACTCTCTAAGACAATAAGTTTGCTTTGGTAAAGGGAGTTCCTTACCAGTAAAGTAATAAGGCTCATACAAAAAAAAAAAAAAAAAAAAGTCATCTCATGTATTCATTCAGAGATGATGTATGCAGATCAAATTTGTGTTTCCTTGGACAAAGCTTGCAACCTAAATTAACCCTAACAGAGACAACAAGCAAATAAATATATACAAATGTTAGCATATGTTTGTTTTCATGCTGTTGCCCTTTTTAGACTATGAGCAACTCAAGGGCATGGACTGTCTTTTGTCTTTCTTTGCATCCCCAGCACTTAGTATGGAACATAGTATATAGTAGGCATTTAATAAATGCTTATTGACCCAGTAAATCATTTTTCCCACGTATTAATTGTGATATTATATCTTGTTACGGCCTTGTGACCTGATGAAGCAATATTTAACCATATCACCAGTGCCAACAGCATCAGGGAGAAGTGAGCTTTTTTATTTCTTAATTTTTTTTTTGGTGGCGGGAAAGAGGAAATGAGATTAATTTCTGTGAATCAGTATCTTCTTCTGTAATCTCTGCTTTTGGTTTGTTTTCTTTCCCCAGGTGTAACCCTTTTTGTGGCCCTTTATGACTATGAAGCACGAACAGAAGATGACCTGAGTTTTCATAAAGGAGAAAAATTTCAAATACTTAACAGCTCGTAAGTTTGGGAAGCGCCCTTGAGGATTACTAGTGCTTTTGACTTTGGGGAGGAGATTTTTGCGCTATCAATTCTTAGCTTTTCCAGATGTGAGGAAGGCAGTGGAAGCACTCAGCCAATTAGGCAAACCAGAGCAATATAAATTTGGGAAAACAAACACAGTTGGTGACCCCATGCAATGTCCCATGAAACTACACCTCCAGAGAGTTTTTGAAATACACCACAATAGTTGAGCATCCTCCCCCATCCATCCATGATTTCAAAAGCCTGGCACATGACTTGGCTGCCTACGTTAGGCACTGCTTAGAGAATCCCCACCCCCCACGTTTCAGACATTCTACTCTCTATGCCCTCACTCAGAGCATGCAACAAATTCCTTCTGTTTTCAAAACTCCTAAACATTCCAGTCAGTGAGATTTGCAGGGGCGTTTCCAAATAATGTGATTTTGTGACTGAAACCTTTGTGAGATGGAAAGAGAAGAGATTTCACCCACCCAAGTGTGTGATTGCGATGTATGCATTTTAAATGTGGTCATCAGGAGCAAAGCAGAACAAATGGTACAAACCTGATGCCACATTTGCATTTTATAAATGCTGCATTTTATGCCAGGCTTAGTATAACTGGTATTGGTTAACATGCTCTTACAATGAAATGTCTTCTTTTAAAGGATAAAGGAAATAATGATCACATCCCCACCTCAGGTTCCAAATATCATCTAGAGTAGATGAATCTGACTGAATTAGTATGTAGATAAGAGCCCTCTCCGAAATCCAAGCTCCCTAGAAAATAGTATGGTGAGGAAAGCCTTTTCCCAAAGTTTCAATGGTTTTTCTTTACCAGTGCTATCACTAGTAAGTGGAAGAGAACCTGAGTAGGAGGTTGTTTCATAGATGCCCAGTTCTGACTTGCTGTCATTCCAGCTCTGGTTAGCAGTCTTGCTTTCTTCATTCCAGCAAAGACCTAGCTCCCTTTGTATATTCCCAAACTTCATGCAGTGAGAAAACTGGGTTCTGCCTAAAATGGTACTCTTAGCGACCCCTTAGGGTGTGAGATCATGGGGCTAGAAATAGAAAGGATGGACTGGAGAGGAGAAGCATTTTATCCAAATGTTATCTCGTTTGATACACACAACAACCTAGGAGGTAGGTACTGTTATTCTCTCTAATAGTTGAGGAAACTGAGACAAACAGAGGCCAAGTGACTTGCCCAGGATCACACAGCTGGTAAGTGTCTGAGATTGGAGTTGAACTCAGATCTTCCTGACTCCAGGCCCAGCACTCTATCCCCTGCGCCATCCAGCTGTAGAGGTTGCACTATTTATATCCCTTGTCTCTGGAGGGAAAAAATGAGAAAAGTTATTGACAGTGAACAGCCTCAGATTTGAACTCAGGTAGATAGTCTTCCTGACTCTAGGCCTGGCACTCTATCCACTGCACCACATTGTGTGTGTGTGTGTGTGTGTGTGTGTGTGTGTGTGCGTGTGCGCAACTTATTAGCTTCCACTTAAAGACCTTTTCCAGTGAAGGGAAGAATGAACCTATCACCCTCTAGAGGCAGTAAAAAACCCTTTATTGTGTTATCCATGGACTTCCACGGTCTGGTTCCAATTTACCTTTTCAGTTTTTATTTTCAGATGAGTCTTCCTGACTCCAGGGCTGGCACTCTATCCACTATGCCACCTACTTCCCTGTATATGTTCGTGTGCACGCACACACACACACGCACACACACATCCATACACATGTTCTTTCCTTCTGTATGCTTCTTTTTTTGTCTTTGCGTGTGTATATGTGTGAATATACATACTTATCTACATGTACATATATAATTATACTTGTATATATATATATAATTATGTAAGCATATACAGTATATGTTGAGTATACATCCTACTTGTGTGTGTATCAAGTACAAGTAATATTTGTGCGTGTGTATGTGTATATATATATATATATACACACACACACACATTTATGTAGTATTTGTGTGCGTGTATATATACATACACAACTATTTCAAAATACATACAAAATAAACATATAAATATAAGAAAATGATGGTGAGAAGAAGACACTAGAAGCTTAGGGGAGATGAAGAAAGACAAGTACAAGATGATATTTGACATGAGATTTGAAGTAAGCCAGGGATTCTAAGAAGAAACAGTGAGGAAGGAGTGTGTTCTAGGTATGGGAGAAAGCCTGTACAGAGTCAAAAAAGATGTTATATCTGAGGAACAACAAGAAGGGCAGTTTTGCTGGACTGTAGAGAGCCTGAAGGGAACTAAAGTCTAAGAAAGCTAAAAAGGTTAAGCTGGAAGTAGATCATAAGGGCCTTTAAATGCCAGACGGAGAAGTCTGAGTTTGACTCTAGAGATAATTAAAAAACCTTTGGAGTTTATTGAATAGTATAATAAGTGACCTGTGGTTGGACCTGGTGCTTTAGGAAATCCACTTTTGACAGTAGAGAATGGATTGGAGAAGGGACGGAGTTGAGGATCTAGTAGAGATAAGAAGTGACAAGTACCTGAACTAGGGTTTTGGCCATGTGCATAGAAGGACCCACATGCTGAAGATACTGGGGAGTTAGAGACTGTAAGACTGGTTACCTGGTTGGATATCTGAGATGAGTGAGCATGAGGAACCCAAGATTACACTAAAGTTGCAAATCCGGTAACCAGAAGGATGGTGATGACCTCAATAGTAACAGGGAACTTGGAAAGGGTGGCAGGTTTGGGAGAAAGATAACAAGTTCTGTTTCAGGCATGTTGAATTTGAGACGTCTATGGGTCATCCAGTTAAAAATGTCTACTGGCTAGTTCATGATGTAGGACTGGAGCCCAAGAGATATACTAGAGGTGCATATATAAATTCAGGATGATGTTTAAACCCATGGGAGCTGACAAAAGAATGTCAGAGAGAAGGCTTTAGTACAGAGCCTCAGGATACACCCACAGTTAGGGCTGGAATATAGATCATGATCCAAAAGAAGTGGTCAGATAGGAAGGAGGTGAGAACCAAGAAAGAACAGAGAGGAAAGAGCATCCACGAGAAGGTGGTCAACCATGTATGTCAAATATTGTGGAGAACTCAAGGAAGAAGGATGAAATCTGGTGACAATAGGCCACCACATTTGGAAGTTCAAGATTATTAGTAACTTTGAAGAGAGAAATTTCACTGTAGGAAGCCATATTCCAAAGAGTTGAGAAGTGAGAGAAGAGGAAGTAGACACAATGAGGGTTAATCTTTTTTTTTTTTTTTGTAAAGTTTGGCTGTGAAAAGGAAGAGAGAAAGGAGAATAACTTGAGAAGTTGTAGGGTTGATTTATTTTTTTAGAGATAAAGGAAAGCTAGGAGTGTTTGTAGGCAGCAGGAGAAACTAGTACAAAGGGAGAAATGGAACATTAGAGAGAGAAGAGGGATGATTCTGGGATCATGGTATAAGTAGAGGGGATAGCCTTGGTAAGGAGATGGGCTACCTTGACATCAGAGAGGAGCAACAACAGAATGGTGAATGATTTAAAGGGGTCTTATAATGCAGAGAAGGGGAAGTTCTCTTCAAATGGCCTTAATTTTCAAAGTAAAGTATGAAGCTTTGAGGGTCGAAGGAAGGGTTTATGTGGGAGACCTGAGGAGAGAAAAGACAGTCTAGAATAACTGCTCTGGGAAGTGTAATTAATGGAGGGAATCAAACACACCTAAACTGGGGGGGGCGGGGATTATGGGGTCTCAATGGCTAGCTCAGTTCTGAACAACTCAGATTAACAGTGGCATTATATCCCTCTTCCCAGCACCTTCCCATCTCTCTCTCTCTCTCTCTCTCTCTCTCTCTCTCTCATACACACACACATACACATACACATACTCTTTCTCTCTACACATATGTATATGTGTGTATACATATACGTACACATATATACATATGTGTGTATACACACTCATAGTCTCTATTCCATTCTCTAATGACCTGTGTTACCTGTTAATGCCCATTGATGCTGAATTCTGAAATAGGCTCAGTCCTTCCCTTCCCTCCTCTGATATTTCTACTTCTCCTATTTAGAATCACAGGACATCAGAGTGATAAGGGACCTGGTCCAACCCCTCAGTTTATAGATAATGAACCTGAGGTTCAGTGAGGGAAATGTCTTGTCCCAAGAAACACAACTATTTAGTGTCAGAGAAAAGATTAGGATAGAGGCTTTCTGATTCATTGTCTAATTCTTCTAACACTGTGCCGTGCTACCTCCCCTGATTTTTTTGAGATGGCTTAGAGCTTTTAAAACAGATTGAAGAAAACTTTATGAAGTGAAAACTAAGGCATCCTGGGAGATCTTACCAACCTCTCTGTGGCCTTGAGATTATTAGTGATAGCAAATGGGTATAAATATCCAAATAGCTGGACACAAACCTTTTAACAAATGTCCAGTCCTTTTCCAAGGAATGGGTCCCTTCTTCCCCCTCCCATTAGCTTATCTGGTCCCTCTAACTTTGTCTTTCCACAACATAAACTGAAATTAAAGACAAGCATTCCAGGAAGATCAAATCCATCTTCACCCACATCTTTTAATTGGTCTACATTTAATTTCATGTTGGCCATTGTAGTATGAGCTCATCTTTTTTCTACAAGAAGTAGGTATTATAAAGTTTCTCAGATGTGTATCTTTTTTTACTGTCTATACAGCTGTACTTCTTTGTTGTGTGACTTAAATGCCCCAATTCCAAAGTTAGATACAAACAAATACAACCGTGCAGAAGTCAAATATATGCACAGGGAAGATGTAAAACCATGGAGCAATAAAGCAGCAGAGAAACAGATGGCATCTGTTTCCTTCCCTTACCCACTCCCGCCCTGCCCCTTCCCCAGCCCCTGGCTCTTGTCAGCTGGAAGGATCCAGTTCTCACAGGGCAGCTGCCGCCTCCTGGTGTGTGTCCTCCCACTCCTTGGCTGATTGAGAGGCAGGAGCTGGAGGCCCTGGGGCCCCTCCTGTTTAGAAAAACAAACCA